CCTTCTGTCTGTCTGTACCTGTGTACTCCATGTTCCGGTTAACCCAGCTTCCCCCAAATTTCTTTTTTGTGTCTATATGTACGCCGGGATCCGGAGTCGAGGCTAATCCTGTTGCTGTGGTCGTGTGTCCTGGATCCTCTATCCTGAGTTCTGGATCTGAGTCCTGGACTTCGAGTCGTGGCTGAATCTGTCTCTGCGGTCCTGTCTGACTCTCATCATACTACTTCCCTGATGGCTCCCACAGGATTGTTGACATCCTTGTGGATTCATCTTCTTATTATAGACATATGCATTTCCAAACATTTGGTCTTTCCAAACATTTGGTCTACCTACGCTGTAAAATGTATTATTTCTTCGATTTACACACGGCAACTATTGCACGTCTGTCCGTCCTGGGAGAGGGATCCCTCCTCTGTTGCTCTCCCTGAGGTTTCTCCCATGTTCCCCTTTAAACTGTGGGTTTTTCTCTGGAAGTTTTTCCTTGTACGATGTGAGGGTCTAAGGACAGAGGGTGTCGTTTTCTCATACTGATATTCTTTACAAACTGTGAAGTCCATGGAGACAAATGTAACATTTGTGATATTGGGCTGTATAAATAAACATTAATTGATTGATTGAATGACAATAAGAGCATAACTGCTTATATAAATGTGAAGGCACTTTAGTACATTTTCTTAAGACCTGTGCTTGCAAAATGTCAAATATAATCATCTGTGATTTAGAGATAATTTGTAACACTTAAACTATCTTATTAAACATTAAGTAGCACTACATAAACATTTATACATAGTTGATGACATTGAAATGTTGTTCTAGGCAGATATAAGGATGTTTTAAAGTGTGTCTATAATTTTTATTATTTTATATAATTACATTTATATAAACAATTGTACTGCTATTAATTATCTCGACAATTTTATCGCCTCACAATACAATAAGTGTAAGTCATAAATGATTAAGTGGGTTATTCAGTGTTTGTATACTACTTACATATAATAATAGGGGAACCTGAAATGTCACCAGATACTCAGTTAATTACAGTTTATTACAAATAGCATTTTTTTCCAACAAGATCATCTCACATTTTGGAATGAAAGCTTTAATTTCCTTTGTGGTGCACCCGTATAAATACAGGCCAATGTCTGTAAGTGAATATATTTGTGTGCAGACATGGAGGGGTGTTTAACGCAGTGGCAGTGGTTGTGAGCTTTCAGGCAGTTTATTGGATGCTAGCAGATTTACACCCCTGTCTAATGAGAGACATCTCGACACTTTAATAACCTCGGCACTGAGCTTGAAGTAGTTTAGTGCCTGAGCTGTGGCTGGGAGGCAGCAGCTGACTGCAGCGAGAGAGGGGTGGCATGTCGGGAGAGGGGACAGACACACAGAATAAAACTGGGGCGAGTTTAAGAATAGGGGTCTTCCTCAACTTGGGGGCAGAATAATAGGACCCTGGCTGTGGGAGGAGTTGCTTAAAATGTAGTGTTGGCAACAGAAAGAGGTTGAAGTCCCAGCTGGCCACACGATGAAGACGCCAAGCAATTCTGCAGCTGCTTGACTGAGCTCCAGAATAACTGTGATTTGATCATGAATATTATAAAAGACAGTATTATGTAAAAAAGCATTAATATTAAATTTCAGCCAATATGTCGCTACAGCTAGCTACAGAATTTTCCAACCGTACTGTCTAAGTAGAAAGGACAAACTTATGGTAAAAGGAAAAACTGTTACACCCAACTAGACCAGGCGGTTTCAGCACACTGCCTGGTTGGAAAAAGACAAGCCACAGACTGTGAGATTAGTGGTGAAAACAAAAACAATGTTTCCAAGAAAAAAGGTCTCCGTGGGAGTAAGATTATCACACACTAACTGATAACTAAGAAAGAAAGAAAAACATTCATGGAGGAAAAAGAGGAGAATATCACGATAACAATTTGGAGGAAAAAACTTCAGACTAAACAGACAACACTTCATCAGGCCTAAATAAAAGGTCATTTCAATAAAAACGTGTTCAGTCTAATGAAGCTGAGGAGATATAATCCAGAGTGTGGAAATGATCAGCTTTTTCCTTTACTAAATGTTCTATTTGTGTCTTGCCTAAATATAGAAATGGATATGCACACAGACAAACCATTATAACCCATTAGTGTTTTATTTGAATCTTAACATAACAAGCATTCATTTTTTCTAATCACAAAACATAATCTCAAAACAATGGAGGTCAATGCAAAACTGTTTGGTAAGAGTTAGATGTTATGAAGTCTTATAATCGCGGCACTATCTCAGTATCTGTAAACGTCCTTCTCTCTGTCTCTCAGGTGGGACGACTAATCAGCACCCTCAGTTTGCCAACGTGCTTCTCTCCTCTTACCCACCTTGTCTGTGCTCACCGCTGTAAGCTGATAAGGTCACTTCCTGTTTAACTTTCCATCAGCTCCTGTTTAATCTCTCCACTTAACTCTATCGCTCTGCGTCAGGCTCGCTAAGACAAAAGGCGTCCTCAGTTTGGCTGACTTCTCAGTGCGCTGGACTCTCTAGCGCCATGTTCAGATTGCCATCGGAGTGGAACCACACTTTCAAGAGAACAAAACATGAGGGCAATTCAATACAGCTTGCCCATTGTTAGAAGGAAACATTGTCTCAACATGTGGGGAGAAGGCTTGGTATCCCCAGAGTCAAAATCCTTCTCAAGTTACACCTTCCACAGGTGAATAAAAGCTCATATTGGCACGATGCATACTGGAATATCAATTTGTAATGATTTACTTTTAAACTAATATAAAATATTCTTAAGAGAAATAAGTGTTTGTTTTATGTGTGTTTGTCTCCACATTGGCCACTTACGTCCACTTCACCTTGGTCAATCACATAGAAGTTGTCTCCTTCATCGCCTGGAAGGGAGAGACAAGGAGAAACACAAGAGTTTATGAGAGAGCCGGGGAAAAGCATGCAAATGACCTGAAGCCAGCAGGAAAGCTACACTTCCTATTACTTCCACCTGCTGCTTAAGATCTTTAAGACTTTCTTTAAGGTTTTTTTTAAACCTCTTGGGCTTACAAAGATTAAAATAATTTGTTAAACACTTGGAATACCAGTTTATGTGAATTTAAGAACAAAAATAATCCTGAAACTTCTACATAAACCCACACATACGTACATTTTCTCATACTCTCATCATCCTTTGTGTCAACATCCCTTCTCCTTAATAAGAGTTCTGGATTTATGGTCTTGCTATTATTTTTCTTTTGGTGGTTATTCATTACCCCTGAAAGCATCAGGGCAGACCCAGCGTCAAAGATGCAGCTTTCTCCTCCAGAATGCATATTTCACTGGGCCTGCCAATATTTCGGTGAAAAAGGGCTCTCGCCAGCAAACAGCAGCGCTTACAACCGCTGCTTGAGTAGCTTAATAGTTGAAACTCTGAAACAGAAGTGCTTGAGTATGCAGAGCAAAACCACCTGAGCACGAATTCAAGAGAATGATTCAGAGTAATATATGCAACAGACGTCAGCTGGTTTGAGACATTGCTAATGTACATAGAATATGAACAAAATAATTATATTATTATAATCCTTTTGAGATGTTTCCTTTTCAAAACAGAAGAGGATTTTTTAAAGATGGATTAAAACCTAAAACTTGATGTTTTTAGAGCCTTTCCACTAGCAGGTGTGTCCATTGTTTGCTGTGTTTCCTCCATTTTCCAAGAGCTTGGTCTTTTGCTACTAATTTTTGAGTAGCTATCAAATTTGCATGGCTGACAACTCAAAATGTTGTCTGGTTGTCTGACTGGCTCCCTGTTGTGTCATTGACAGTGGCATGCTGTGCTCTCAAAGCGAACCCCAAACCATTGAAGTGAGCCATGGGATCTTGTCCACTAAAAGCATCTAGTCTGGAGATAAGGCTGAAAAATGGTGAAGTGTTCCTTTAATTATGGTATCTGTTACATGGGGCTCAGGAAATGATGAAGAAGGACATACGAAAGCAATGTGAAGCTCTCCCAGCAGCTTCCTCCTACAATAAGACACACATGCAACCCCATTCAGAGGTACAAGAGGGTGATGGTGCATGAGTATACATGACACAAGTATGCGTGTGTATGCATTTTGTGAAGGTGTGTGTGACTGTGTGCATTTGTTATCTTTTGTGTATTTTCACCTGAAGAGCTGAAAAGCTGAGAGCGTCCCGTGTGTAAAGTTCACAATAGTTCACACGCCTAATTAATACTGGCTAGAGAGTGCTCGTTAATCATAAAGCTCTACATGTCACACAAAACGCTCCTTGTCTGTCTGATGACACACACACACACACACACACACACACACACACACACACACACACACACACACACACACACACACACACACACACACACACACACACACACAGGAATGTGTACTTAGTGTTGAACCGTGTCAACACAAGCTAATTGCCGTTAACAGTTAAGGTTCTTTGAGTTTGGTCAAAAGGAATACATGCGTTACATCCGTGGCCTGTAAGGTGTGTATTGTAGCCACAGTGCTGCATGGTGCACCATAAAGCTAGAAACTTCCATGTTTCAAAACTCTTATTTTGTAATCTGATAACTCAAATATGGATATATACATCAAATCTTACTATTAACAAATATCATCAACGGACCAATTGCTTACAACTGCAAAACTGGATATACTATGTTTCAGAAACATCAGATTAAATGTACTTGATAGACAATAAATGTCAATGAAAATACCTCCATACTCCATTTTGAATGTACATTTTCGCTCTGTTTAAATACCACTTGAGCCACAGAGTCGGCAACTCGTAGCTGTTTCTAAATACTGTGTGATAGGCGAATAGCAGGGGAGCTTCTTTTTTAAAGCTTTACAGTAGTCCAGACATCAGCAATGACATCAGCGCCATATATATTGTATACCACACTCTATGGTGTATATAACAATGGGCTGTCTGGGACTGGGGGCCAAGCAAAGTTAGCTAGACTTATTATCACCAAATTAGGACTGACCTACCCCTGGATGCTGTCTTAAGAGTAGGTGGGAGTGACAGAGCGGGTGTGTGTTCAAAAGCCTATAGTTTGCCTTCACTTAATGTCTAAGAGAATGTGTAAGCGCGGCATGTTCGACAAGTCTAACCTATGTGCTTTCTGAGCAGGTGTGAAAACAGTATTATCGGAAATTGTCTGCGGTTGTCTGTGAGAATGTGTGTTTTCAGTGTTTTAAATATGTGATTAGGTCTGTGTCTGTGGTTGATAGCAGTTTGAGTGGGGGGTACAGGAAAAATACAGTCTGGCCCTGTGTTCAGCTCTGTGTTCCTTCAAAGTCCTGGGATGTCTAGAGCGAAGGCTTTGACGACTGTGGTTAGGCAGAAGAGGGACATGACATCTGGTGCAGACTAAGGGAATGTATTAGTGTGGCAAAGAGAGGAAAGGGGAGGGAACAAGGGAGTGGTGGGACAAATAAACTTGAGTGGCAGTGTAATACATGAATTCTTCAAGAAAAGGGCCCTATTTTCAAGGCAATATAACAACAAGAGCAGTCAACGATCTGATCATTTGGTGTTTCTTGACATTGGAATTCACTTTGCCAATCTGCATGGTAAGGCGAAGAAGATGGAGAAGAGGCGCAATCAGGCAGGATATTCTTTCAAATGACGAAGCGTGAAGCACATTTTTTGTATTTAGTTTAAATATGTGTGTTCTACTTTAATTGTTTGTTAGTTTGTTTTTCTGTTAATCAGCAGATTTAAAATTATACTACTAGTCCGAGTTATTAGAAGGGTTTAGCAAAAGCAAGGAAGAACAAAAGCAATTTTGGAGTAAATGGACCAGTTCCACATACCTTGCTGGATGACTGTTTCCCCTGCGATGTGGGTGACTGGGAACATGGCATCAAATATGTCACTGAAGGAGAGACAGACAGAGTGTGGAGGAAGAAAAGAGAAAAAGGGAGGGAGAACACAGTTAATACCAACATAGCTGCTATTATGGAGATTACACCACAGTCCCTGAGCATTGTTAACTTACTCACTCACACATAACAGTATGTGTGGAAGAAGAGCGGCATGATGGGAAAGGCAGAGAAGCCATCGTCCCTGTATCAACTCTATCAGCTGCTAGCATAGCTGAAGAGACAGGCCTGAGAACTCTGGATGACCCCAACGCATAAACGTGCACTAAACGCATCCACCTGCATGTGTACACAACTGATTTCTTCATCATCATCATCATCCACATCCAAATAAACACCCACAACTATTTGTTAAAACAATCATAAGGAACAAATGTTTGCCAATAAGGACAGGGTTTAAACTAACAAATCATCAAGCTCAAAACCATAAGTTCTGTAGTTTTTGGCAAAGATATTATATTATACATATATATATATATATACTGTATGTAGTGGTGTAAAAATAAACTTTTGTTTCAATCAAGAGATTATTACCATCAGATAAACATTGCAAAGCTGCAGGCTCGTTCTGTTTCTGTACATCGTATTAGTAGGCTACAGCACAGGGGCTTGAACATGTATATGCAGGAATCCTGAGGTCAAATTTAATACCTTTTAAGACCTTTTTTAAGACCCTTTCCATACATTTTAAGACCTCATCGTAACTTTGAGTTCTAACCGGTTACATTGGCGACACACTTTATCTCACATTTACTATATTGATTGTAAGATAGCACAACTAAACAGAGTGCAGACAGACTACTGAAGCCTCCTTTCCACATGAACTTCAACCTCTCTGTGAAGGTCAGGTTTAATGCAGTATGCTGCTTTGTTGCTTCTGTACTCTGGGCTCTTTCATTCCAGTAAAACTCCTCAGAAACCATTAGAAACCAGTATTTGACCAATAAACAAAACAATTGACAAAACTTTGAACTATGAAATATATTAAACTTTGGTGAGCTTCAGCGGGGTAATGCCATAGGAGCTCCCTCACAAATACCCAGGGGTTAAATTGGGCTGGGGCTGTCCGGGGCTAAGCCCTGGCACATAGGACGATGCTCTGATGTCATCACCCTCACACATTTGTCATATGTTTACAAAAAACGATATATATGTTAAGACTTTTCTCGTTCTTAATATAGACTATATTAGGGTTGATATTGACTTTACTTTAAAATAGCAGATCTCTGTGACCGGATATAGTTTGGCTTAGACCCCGGCCCCACGAGGACGCATACGGTAAAACGCATACGCAAACGCTAAAAAAGTCTTC